GCCAAGGTGGGAAGCAGGAGACACGTCCCAAGGCCGAAAATTGGGAGGGTTTCATAGTCACTGGTGCAGCAGCTAAAGCAAGGGAGAAAGCTTTGTGAGAAAGCGCTCACTTGGGCCGTGGCTTTCCATCGTCCTTGTCCGCACTGTGCGGACTGCCATCATTCTGCCTTGAGGGGACTGATTCGACTTCCAGAAAAAAAACACATTTCCATGAAATCAGTCTTCCTCGCAGCCTTACTGGTTATAGTAATAGGAAATAAAGGAATGGGCACCTATAGTAGCCCTCATAGAATCCCCAAGAGCGTCATAGTTTCCATTTTCCTGTCCATTCCTGCATTCCCAACTGACAGCCAGCAAGTAAACGGCCAAGCTCAAAACCCCTCGATCACCTCCTCTTGGTCCTGTGACCTCCACGCAGCGAAGGTTGTGTCGTCAGGACATCTTGATTCCAGGAATTCTTGAATGCGGATGCCATACACGGCTGGGCTGCAAGTGCTCTAAAACCTAGGTAGCTATACCACGAAACAAAAGTGGAATCTGCAGAAGTAAACATATAGCAGCGGATATGGGATATGATTCGGCTCTCTCGACCTAACTGTAAGCATGGCCTCCGCAACTCAGATTGTGCAGCAAAAAGTGCGGAGGGCTTCAGGTCAAGGTTCAAGCTGTTCAGATCATGCTACAAGTAAATGATTGGGAGTTTTCCAAAATCAGGGGATCAACCTTTTATAATCTCCAAATACTCCAATCCCACTTGTCGGAGGGGGATCCCTAGTTTCTGGAAACCCCCATGTTGCAAACAAGGAGAGTCCACCTCAGCTCGTCACGTTCCTGGCCGTGATTTGCAGCACATCTTGAATATGCTTGCTGGTTGGTAGCGAATGAAGCAATGGAAACGAAAATGACAACGACTAAAAAGGTTCACGGTTTAGGGCTTCGGAAAAATTAACTACCGTAAATACAATACGAATCCGTTTCTGCAGTGTCGTGTCCCGCGTCGGCAGCCCCCCCAACCCCAATGGTATGGTCACCTGACCCGCAGCACAGGCCCAGCACTCTCCAAAGTGTGAACAGTCACAAGGATGATAGGTGTCCACCTGACGATCCGCGAGCTCTCTTTTTTCTTTTAGCGTGTGGGAAAGACCTGACCGACCTAAACCACTCAATGCTGAATTTGCCACAGGCTTCAGAAAACTAAACGTCAGAGTTGCTTCCAACAAAAGGACAATCCTTTGCTGCAGAGCAAAAATCAATTGCAACAATGGTGCGATGCGAGTTGACGGACAGCCAGGAATGGTGACAGCTATTGAAGGAAGACAACCACCCACGCCACAGGGCGAGGGAGGAGGCCCGAATGCTTTCAACACAAAACAATGCTGACAACCTTACTGAGAATCAACACCTATCAAACTGCAGGGGAGAGGTGTTAAAATCTGAACTACGTGACAGTCACGGAAGAAAGACAGCCCACTACAACAAAGGGGAGAAGATGATGATCTGCCTGACCTCAGCAACATCCCGGTCTTGATACTGCAAGGTGATAGTCAAGTATCAGAATGCTATCAACCCCCCATCCTGGAAACCTTCAAAGGCTCACAGCTTACAAAATACCAGCGTTATCCATGATACTAAAAAGCTTCCGAGAGGGCGCGCAAGCGCTAACGAGAAAAGAACTACCAGCGCCGACTGATATCTACGGCAGAAATAAACCATCTCGACTAATTTCGGGCTTCCGTGCATCGCTAGCTTGCGCGCACTGCTTTTTCTCGCATGCAGTCAAAGTCTTGAGGGCAGCCTTTGCCCAGCTTTGTAGAGCCATCCAAAACAAAGATTGATATCCTTAGCTCATCCCTGAAGGGACCGCGGGAGGCTGGGAATTGTGGCTCCTAGACAAGGGCAAAGGAAAGCTTGGCGAAGGACGCCAGATTTCACTTGAACGGGTTGAAAGGAAGCAAAATAGGCATCCTTTGAAGGGATGGCGGGAGGCTGGGAGTTGTGGCTCCTAGACAAGGGCGAAGGACAGCGTGGCAAGGGACGTCAGATTTCATTTGAGTGGGTTAAAATGAAGCAAATAAGTGTCCTGTGAAGGGATGGCGGGAGTCGGGAGGCTGGGAATTGTGGCTCCTAGACAAGGGTAAAGGACGTCAGATTTCATTTGAACGGGTTTTTGGAAGCAAAATAAATGTCCTTTGAAGGGATGGCGGGAGGCTGGGATTAGTGGCTCCTAGACAACGGCAAAGGACGTCAGATTTCATTTGAACGGGTTTTTGGAAGCAAAATAAATGTCCTTTGAAGGGATGGCGGGAGGCTGGGAATTGTGGCTCCTAGACAAGGGCAAAGGACGTCAGATTTCATTTGAACCGGTTTTTGGAAGCAAAATAAGTGTCCTTTGAAGGGATGGCGGGAGGCTGGGAATTAGTGGCTCCTAGACAAGGGCGAAGGACAGCGTGGCAAAGGACGTCAGATTTCATTTGAATGGGTTACAAGGAAGCAAAATACGTGTCCTTTGAAGGGATGGCGGGAGGCTGGGAAGGTGTCCTTTGAAGGAACCGCGAGAGGCTGGGATTTGTGCCTCCTACACATTTTCAACGTTTTCCCAAGGTGCTCAGTGGTAGTGGGCAAGGGTTGCCTGAGGAGGCCTCGGGCTCAATTCCCAACAGGGTCGCTTTATGCTTTCTCAAATGGGAAGCATTGCCTTTCTAGGTTCCCCTGTAAAAGACCGGATTCCCGCCTGTTTTCTACCTTCCCCTCCTCCTTTTCCAAGCATGCCCTCACCAGCGACCCGCGGGAATCCGCCTTTTGGATGACTCAGGCCATAAACACATTCAAATTCTGACTCTCCACAATCACTCAAAGAATGCATACCTGGCCATATACAAGACCCTCAAAAGACGTCAGCTTTCGCCCACACAGTACATACCTCGCCAAATCCACCAACCTTTGACTACCATATGTAAAAGTGTATAATTGGTCGGGGAAGTATTTCTTTGTTGTTGATTTTCTATTGTTGCTGTGGTTTGGAATTCCCCTTTACTAACAATGGCCATACGAAAAGTAGCAAGAAAAGAAATGCTAGGAATAACAATAATATTAATAATGATAATAACACTAAGAAATATTCAATACTAATAAAGATCATAGTAGCAATAGCAATAATAACAGTTGAAGCGGGCTATAGGATACGACCAGGCTATGACTTAGGTTTTCTATGTAGGTTGAACATCATTGTCTCAGCTGGCCGGGCTGCTCCTGCAGCAGATTTTGTGGCCTTTGGTTAGCTAGGAATGAAGGAATGGATCACCATAGTGCAGTCCCTATATAACCCATTATAGTAGTTTCAATTTTCTTGTCCATTCCTTCATTCCCAGCTATCCAAATGCCAGTTTTGTGGGGAGCCGAGGGCCAAAACTGGTCTCTGATCTCCTTGACACTTATACATGTCAGCACCAATCCCTGAAGCCACGACAGGCCGGGTGCACCTTCTGGTACGAGTATTCGTACCCATGGCGATGGCCCTGCGACAAGCTCTCTTGTTGGTGGTGGCTCTTGATCTGCTGCACTAGCACTATCAACTAGATCACGAAAGCACCCAGCCTAACTCGTGGCTAATCTTAGTTTTTGAAGCTCTTGCACTCACAGGTTGCAACTTCTAGGACGCAGGCTCCTCTTGCCATCTTGCAGGGGCATCCGGAGTCTAGGTAGACGTATTAAACAACACTCGTGTTATTTATAATTAATGGAATAATGAAACTTGTTCGAGACCATGGCAAAATGCCTGGTCGTTGCTTAGGCTTTTCTTTGGGTTGATAAGGTAAGAAGCGCTTCAGGGCTTTTCGAGCGCCACCTCCACGGCTGCCAATAGTAGTAAGCGTTCAGACATCTGCTGTCTTTAACGGTTCATGCGAGGCTGGCTATGTTCACATGGTATGGGGGTTTATCAGGAGACTAACCCCTCAGGATCGAAGTCTTGACATATTTCTGTGTTTTCTGCCTCTGCTCTTTGCCTGGCCGGATATTGTTGTTAGTATTTTTGTTATTGTTATGATGGTTAGTATTCTTATTGCTCTAATTTTTGTGGTTATCCAGTCTTGGAAAGCTGTTCCGGCACTGTTCGCGCCTCGACATAGATGTCAATCGACTGCGAATTCGCCGACCCATCGCAGCAAGCCTCCAGAATCATAGAGCTGATGCGAGTGAACAATCTCAAAAATGCGGGTCAACCACTACAGCGGCTTTGCAGGGACACTCCCGGATGATGAAGTCTACATCGAACAGGCCATCAGCAACAACAGAGTGTTGGAGAGGAACCAAATGCAACGAGATGACACCGGCCAGCATGGCCAACCAAGCCCCACATAGCAAGAAGGACCCATTTTAGACAAGCTCGTGCGGTGCGTGACCAATCTTCACAGCAGCATGCAGCTGAAGTTTTCCCCAAAAGAGGATACAAAATAACAGGTTAAATTCGTCTGCAACGACCACACAAAATGGTTGTACCAGGCAGTAACCCCAACTTGCACGTCGCAAGTAAGTTGCTGGACATGTTTGCGCTGCCTTTGTATCCTGAGCTGATATGCTGCTCGGAACTATGCAGATTTCTGCACCCTGAGCCCTAAGCCCTCAATTCCTAAACCCTAAACTCAAGCTCTAGGCTTTCCAGCTAGGGGCAGCACACAAATGACGCTCTGTGACACCGTCATGCATGGCCCCACGCCAAGAGACGCTGAAACGTGAACTGCTTTGAGCACTCCAAGCTCGAAACTTGGGGTTTGCAATGCTGTGAATAGGTCCCTGAAAATGGGTAATCAATGGAATATGAAATTGAAACTGGGGAGGATTCGTTTGGTGTTGTCATCGGAAAGGTTTCCTACGTTTGATTGTTGCGGCATGCTGGTGTCCGGAACAACTGAGCGCTCTGGGCCGGAATAGCAGCAAGCTCATGCAGACTGAACCTTAGGGCAGCTCAGATCGCAACCAAGCACATTACGGTGCCAAGGTGCGGTAGTCGACGGCCACGACCAACACACCCGCCTCCGCCTCAAAAAGAACAGCTCGCGCCATCTTCCAATTTAAAGTGCATAACATAACGGACAGAACGCGCTTGTGGTACCCGCATGTCCGGACCATACATGTGAGAAATGTACCTGCGAAATGTGGTCAAGGCCAGAGGCGGGCATTACCGGGAATCGCCATGCTGGTGTTTGCTGACAGGCTGCCAAGCGCGCAGCGAGTAGCACATTCCACAGCCTGACAGCACCACAAGAATACTTCCGAGTTTCCCTTTCCTTCTCCATTCGAGTCTCCATGGTTGATAGATATACATCACTGAACCCCCGCCCGGTCCAACCTCTAAGGCATTCCCGGTCCGGGTTGGAACATGCCAGCATTCAGTCATCCTAAAACAAGGTCTGCAGCAGCGAGTTGAAGATTGAAGCTTTTTGAAACTTTGAAGTTACTTTTTGACTATGCTGGCGATGACCAGCATTCCATGCACAATACGCTCGCCTGTCCGCATGGGTGCTGACTTCGCTTCATGGTTTGTTAATGGGGAATGGATCCCTGTAGCTGTCCTTACATAATCCACAATACTAGAATGTATTTTTTCATTTCCTTTTGCACTGCTTCATTCCCTACTAACCAGCAACAATTTCAAGGCCTGTGGCCAATTGTCCAGGCGCCGCCCATCACGGCTACGACAACGGGGTAGGCTCCCGCAGTCTGAGCCTTGAACCATTACACCGGTGCTTAGTAGGATCCGGGTTAAAGGACTTAGGGGAGAAAAGATTCAAGGCATTACTTGTGGGATAACATGGCACTACTACAGGGATGCCTTCACTCACTGCGTACTCTTCACCATAGAATCGTTGCAGCATCTGGCCACAAAACAAACTTTGCAAACTTTCCCAGCGCCTCCTTTGGATAGTAGATGTCTAGCAGCTGCCGGGGCCTGGGTTCAAAGATGGAAAATCTGAGCCTTTCTGGGTTGCTCCGAATTATGGGTTTTTTTGATTCCTCATTCTACTCAGGAAATACGAAATCGGAGACCGCAAAACAGCGAATCATTTAGAGCAGACCCCCACTCATTAGTACCCAGCCAGCTGTGCAGTCTGAATTGAGCTCAGGCGCTTTGGGCCATAGGCCACTCCTCTGATGATATGCCTCATAGAGGTAGACATGCCAGGAAGCACCAGTGTCGCAGAGTGCTGCGGGAACATAGGATACTCTGGTTACGCCCTGGTTTTACCCCAGACGCCAGCCAATGCTCTGTGATCATCGGCCTTCCGATGCTCTTCTCCGCAAAACAGGCAAGAGCACAAAGCTTCAGAATCTTCAGGGCCCTACATATGGAGGGATCGTGCCCAAGGTCAGTGCGGCGGAATCCGTAGACGAACCAATTTCCAAGCTACTAAGGCAAGCACTTGTTGGTGAAGTAGAACCAGCCAATTCGCAGGCAGGCTGGCAAGATCACTAGCGCCTGAGGATTCTGGATCAGAGAAAAAGGTTGATTGATTAATTGGGTGCCGATCTCTGGATGAAGCGTCTTGATGGCTAGAAAAACCGTTCGCAACCGCGATTTCCGTAATTCACACCACCCATTGCTGCTTGGATTTTTGTTTTTTCCAAAATCAAGGCTTCGCCTTCTATCCCTCAGATTACTATAATCCCACTTCCAACAAGGGGGCACCGCCCATATTGTTGCTACGCCCCCATGCTTGCAGGCACAGCCAAGGTGGCGGCAAAACCTATGAGTCGCAGTGTCTGAACCTCAGAACAACGCGGCTTCTGTGGCATTTTGAAACTGTCAATGCCAGGGGCATCCAAAGTTGCCATGCCACCCTACTCCCTTAACCCGGCGCTTCCCTCACCCAATCTCTACCTTCAGGCAAGAGCCTCTCTGAAAGTTGACACAAATGGCTTAGGACCAGGCCACAAGGTTCAGGCTGAAACGTACCTTGCGGCCAGAGGCCCCCCAAGAAGCTCTCCGTCAAAGGGGATGATATAAGGAAAGACCGAGACTTTTAGACGGTGACGTATTTCGGGGCTCATCTAAATTCATCCCTTGAGGGCGCCCAAGGATAGCACCTGATGATGTTCTAGCACACAGCAGGAAGCTGCACGCTCAAATCCCTGCAAGCTGGGACTGGGATGTCTCAAGGGCTTCGTCTGAGGTGCAGCTTAAAGGCATTGCGCCAAACTTTCAGAAGGAAGCCCGGAATCTCAGATGAACCTGGTGACGTCGAGCACTTCATGCTTGGTGGCTTTCGCGACAGTGCTGCATTGGACATGCCAACAACGCTTTGCCTCACTGTATGAAGGTAATATCATGTAATTGACAAAGTCTTTGATTCTGCAGTCCTTGGCGACTACTCAGCAATTCTCCCAGTCATCACCGTTTCGACTCGAGCATGCAAGGGGCAGATTAGAAGCTTTTGGCCCTTTGCTGTTGAGGAAAGCATACACACTGAACAAAGTTGGCGAAGCAGAGGGCCTGCTGGGCCGCTCTCGCAACCTCTCAAGGCAAACCAGATCAATGACAAAGCCATCTATTTCCAGAGGAAAGCACTTCAAGTGTCAACAAGTGCAAATGGGACTTGGCCTAGATTTCAGTTCCCCAAATGGCGGAAATTCACATTTAAAGGACCTGCACTGGGATAGAAACCCCCCTATAAAGACCAGCAATTTTTACGAACTTAGCTCAAATAATGAAAGGCCTGCTGTGCAACGTAGGCGTCGGCTGCAGCGCGAAAGGCTCCTTCATACTCCCGGCTTTGACAGTTTAGGGAATATGTAGGGGATATATAAGGGTAAAACAAGGAGTAATTTAGGGGTCTGTGCTGGCTCTTGGGATGATTATAAGGACATCATCAGTGCGTGAAAGACTCATGAATGTCTCTCTGGATAACCACACAGGCGCAGCACCACCCATATCCATGTGCAGAGCGAAGAGTCTGAGTTTGTCAGGTCGTTAACCACGAGCCATCGCTTGGCACACAAGTTTGAAGCAATTCAATGCCCTTTCAGCTCAAGCTGTTGACATCAACTGCGCGGCTCTTCTAGCTGTAACGCTGCCCTTCTACAACAACCCCACATCTCATGCCCCGTGCTTGCAAGGTCGCAGCACCGGCCTGTGCACGCGACGTGCACTGCTCATTTGGCGAGGAATGGCGCACTGCACCTGCATCTCGATTCAGGAAGTCGAGTTGGGTGGACTCATGGGCGTTGGACTGTTCCGAACATTCATGCTGCGAGCCGCCACATCATATCTAAGTCCTCTAACTGTGTGCAGGCCTGGCACCTAGAGCAGCCGCGCTCAACAATCACAAGCAAGCTCTGAAATGCCTTGTCTAAACAGTAGCCAGGCCTTTGAAGCAGACTGCTGAGTACTGGTCATACAGGACACAGGAAGGATCGTCATCACTGCCTGCACATCGGGCGGGACGTATGAAAGACTGCAGGTCATAGATCCACAGCCTATCAGCAGCTACAGTGCAGGACATATAAATGAGAGGCCTTGCCCAGCGAGCGGCAGTGCCGACACAGTGTTTGTCAAATGCGTTCGTGCTAGAGGTACAGCTTGGCGATTTGTGGCTTGCCCTGCCCACGAACAACTTGTCCAAATGATAACACCACCGTGAAGAAGTTGCTGTCAAGTGGGAGCTCCTTGCAACTTTCTGCTTGTTCGTGCCTCCCTACTTCTTGATGGCAAATGCCTGCGAGTGGTAATTGAAGAGGCCATCATTCAGAAGCACATACCGACAGACGCAAACTTCCAGTGGCAATGACTAACGTCTGGCAGTCCGGCTCTGAGTCTAGATCCCAGCAGAACTCACAACAGAGTCACTAGCAGGTTTCTGAAAGTATTTTGGAGAATTTGCCCACGCATATCACGCGTACTTTATCAAACCCTGAATCGGCACACGCTTCCACAATGAGGCCCACAGACCCCAAGCGCCCGGCGCAGCATTGGAGACCGCGGCCCGCTGCATGGGCGTGAGTTGGTCGAGGAGTTCCGACACAGTTTCCTGCGTGCAAAGGCGTTCTGCCTGGAAGAGGAAAGCAAGTTCTTGAAAGCAGAAGGCGCTGCTCAGTGGCTGCTGAAGCGCAGCGTAACTACCCTGCTGGCACCACGCTATAATACTTATGTACAATAGGACTCAAAGGTATGCTGTTACTACAACTGGATTATTGGGGCTGGTTCCCTAATACTAGCATCCACTGCTGAAAATTCGGCAGCTATTGCGTGTTCGTAGCATGACGTCAACCAGTTGACAACTTTCCTTGCAAGTGCAAGTGCTGGTTACATATCGCTGCCTGTTGTGGCCTGCCATCATCTTGCTGATAGCTTGTAAACACTCAGCGTTTACACGTCATCGATTCCATCCAAAGGCTGTGTCTGCTTGCTCTTACCTCTAGTTCCCCTTAAGTAAATAGAATGTGCCCGGTGGTTAATAGATGATGAAAGCTTGATGAAGGCTTTCAATACTTTGCCAAGTCTCCAAGCTGAAACCTCAGCTCAAGCAGTCTGTGCGCATGTCAAGAAAACATCCTGAAGAGCTCAGTCTTCACAGAAATCTGCTCTCAAGTATGCGGACCATGAAATATCAAGCGTAACGACAGCTATACAAATGCGCATATGAATAGACAATGATATCTGATTCATGGTAATTATGATCGTCATGTCAAAATGCAGGGGGCAACGGACCTCTGCTTCGTTGGGCGTGTCGCAGCACTCGGCGAATTCGGGCGAGCTGCCAGCAAGCTGAGTACAGCGAAGGAGGAGCTCCTCCAGAAGAGCTTCCTAACGAGCACGCCAGTCCCGAGATCTCCCGCCATGAAGCTCCACAGCATGAGTTCCAGTCCTCGTTCCGTGGCCTCAAGAATGGCGGGAAAGCGGAAACCGTAAATCTGACGGCTTTCACGCGACGGGCGAAACTTCTGACAGCGAATCATTGAGGCCCAGGCTCCTGGCGCGCTGCCCACCACGAGTTGACGATCACACCTCGAGCAAGCTACAGAAGTGAACCAGCAGCGTCATTGGTTGTACATGGTTGTGCGATGTGTACTACCACAGTACGACACTTGCTTTAAGAAGAGTTGTCCAGAGCAATGGCACAAAGAATAAGTCCTAGCTGCCAGTACAAGCGTGCGTAAGCGTGCCTTTGGCGGCAACCGCACACAGGTACCGAGGCTACTGAGTTCCGCCTGGCAGGACGCTGTTGTAGGGGCTGGCCTGCCACAGGTGTGTTCAAGCATGCGTTCCGCCTTGCCGGCCTACCTATATAGAAGTTTGGAATCCAGAATTCAAGGCTTTATCATCGAAATGCGACAGCAAGGACACAATTGCACTCCAGTGACGGCCAACAGTTTGGGGGCTGAAAACTTCCACCTGCCGGCACAGTGTAGTGGCCCATAGCTGCTTTAACTGCTATTGCCCTATGCAGGCTGCAAACATTGTAATCGCTGCAATATCGGGCACAGCTTTAAGCGAAACAGTTGCAGTCAAACTGGTTCGCATCTGATCCTTGTGAGTCATCCATTTCCTGCCGTGAACCTCGGGCCTTGGGGCCAGGCAGGAGTGCACGCAGCACCTAGCAGAGCAAGGCTCACCCCTCTCTGCAAGGCCAACACGCCCATCAGTCTTTGTTCATGAGGGACCATACGCGCCTCACGCTGCCTTGCTGCCACGCCAGCATAAATGCCCTGAATTGCCAGGGTGCGCACTTCCAAAGTTCAATTGGCTACCAACTCTGATCCCTGGTCTGGCTTTGTCTGACAGGCCCTGCTGAGATCTTCGACAACACACTGAGAAGCTGGCAAGAGTTTTGCAAAGCAGTTTGGGTGGAGCCTCATACTCAGAGGCCACATACCTTGGCAGCATTGGATGCAAGCTCCAAGATCACTGTTGGCTTTTCTGGCGGGCCGAAATTTTAGCTGAAACCGAAAAGGTGGCGCAAGGTCTGATTTGTCTGAGGGAGACCTCAGGAGAGAGGCTCGTCCGAGGCTTAGTCAATTGGCTGGCAAGTGCGTATGCCTTGTTTCTTCCATCTTGGCTGCTCGAATGCTCACGGCTCACACGCAAGAAAGCTATGGACCCCAGCGAGCCGCACATCACGTCGACGATCGCCAAAGAATCGTCACAAGAGGTGGCCTTTGGCTTGAAAAAGAAGCAGCAAAGCTCCCTTTACAAATGTGATACTCAGATGTATGCGAAACTCACAGCAGGCGTTTTTCATGTCCAGGGGCTTGCTGTGACGGGGAGTATGATTTAGGGAGTTGAAGTTTAGGGCGACGCGAGGCTTCAGCTGTCGTTTGCGGAAATGGACGGATGCAAGCCCTGAGTTTGCAGCCCGCACCACCACTCTCGTATCTTCCAGAACCTCCAACACGGCTGGTATCGCTCTACAAGAATGATGAACAGGTGCATTTGTTCATTCAGAGTGGGGCTCCCGGCTCCCCCCCAAAAAAAACAATTTTTGGGATTCCCCTAACTTTTCACCTAGCATTTGGGGTGCATTTAGGGGGGACCGGACCTCCTTTCTGCAAACTGCTAGGCAAAAATGAAACTGCGCCTCACAAAGAAGCCATCCGGCATCCTGCCGGGCAGTCACTCCCAAGTTACTGCTCAATAAGAGGATTTTGGTGACACCAACCCCTGAGTCAAATGAGAACCAGATAATTTATAGATCTATCTAAATCCCCTTATGACTGTTGATGGAGAACAGACTTAGGGTCATGCGTTGTTTCGTCCATTAGCAGCATGACTGGCTCGGAAAATGATCTTTGGAACCTGTGACATACCATTGTAAGAGTGGGTGGAGGCCGGCTCAGGGTTGATTTTAAGATCAAGGGACGGATACTACGAAACAGTCATGTTATCTCTATCTAGAATAATTGCTAGAAGGGACTGTAGGGCAACAACTTGGCGGTTCCCGACCGAGTTCTTGATGAGGCTAGCTGCTTAAGTTGTTGATGACGCACAGCTCCTGAATCACACAACTCCCAAGCCCAAAAAGACGAAATTTGGCATCGTCTCCCTCAGTACAGTTGGTTCGAACCGGTCCTCTGCCTTAGGTAGGGAAAGTAGGACGGCATCAACCTGGAGCGGAACGTGCTGTGCTAATGGAGAGCTGCAACCTCTAGCCTGCAGCCTATGAGTGCAGAACGAACATGCTTGCTTTAGGGGTCCTTTTGCGAGATCCTCGGGGTGCCAAAAATAAGGGTTGTGATGTAGTAATCTGGATTGAGCAAAGGGTCCCCATGCTGCACTTCCAGCCTTTCCCTTCAGGGCTTCTGTGAAGGTGCAGGAGAAGTTACCCTGCCGCATTTCAAGAAGAGCAGATAGCTTGGACTCACAAGGCAACAGATGCTGCAGTTCTGCTGATAGGTATGGCAAACGTATGACTGGCGATTGTCACGGGTCATGTAAGGCTTTCTTTGGTGACCCAGCAGATTACTGGATACGGTGGATACGGTCAAGCCTGCCTGCGGGTAAGGCACAGCGCAGATTTCAAAAGACTGAAAAAACGAAAGGCATGGCAATCTTTGGCCACGACCCGACATAGGACTGGGCCGACAACTTAACTTTCCGACAAAAAGACCGGGACACAAATGAGTTCATCGCTTCTTCTTTGTGCCATTGTTGCTGGCTACGGTGTGGTTGGCCCAACTAAGCGACTGAACATGCCGATTACAGCACATGTTCAGCTTTTGAATTCTCGACTGATCCACGTCGAATCTGACTTCACGCAGCGTCCCTGGAAAGAGGCGAACCGAAAGCGTCATTGTTCACGGCCTGAGTCCAATGAGATGCACCACGCCCAGCACCCGAGCACTTGACATCCACCTGGACTCGGCCGCCCTCGCGATTGACTCGCATCTCCCTGCATACAGCATTGCTGAGCTGGAAGTCTCACTATGGAAGGTCTGCATGCTTGGGCAACTACTTCTGATGGAATGGTATCAAAGGCAAGTCAAATGAAGAACTGCAAAAAAAGGCAACGCCTCATCGACTCTGGACGTCCGACCTGCAGGGGTCAAAGCAGATGTCCAGCCTATCGTGAACCAACACTGCACTTGAAACGACGTGTCATCTGAGCGAAATCTTTCCCCATCCCTTGCTCCAGACACATAGACCCCAACCCCCTTTCGGAGCTGAGCTGTCCCAGCATGGGCCTCTCTGGAGCTTCTCTTTGGACTGATTTCGCGGACTTGGCTGGCTTGTGGGAGAGCCAGGCTCATCAAAAACCTGCAAAGCGGCAAAGCGGGTACAAAGAGTGCAATCACACAGATGCAGACAAGAACACTGCCTGGGAGCCTCCACCGCGCCAACCCTAGGCGTTGCTCAGGACAGGGTCCCTTCTACATCCTTCTTCTACTGCAACTTGCGAACGCTAACGTGGGCAAGATGCATTGACCTCAAACTGCTCCTCCCGCATGTTCTGGAGGCTGCGGTATACCTCACTTGCGCTGTCTCACGAGCCAGTCTAGACAATCATAATCCTGGAAAAAAAGATAGAAAAGGAAATGGGAGCTGGGATTGCATCATTTGTGCTGAAAACGTGTCAGGTGAAAGCAAATCATCCTGTCAAAGCATGCTGACCACATCTGAGGCTCATGCCATGCCAATCTCATCCTGAAGCTTGTCTGTGACTTCACCTGTCAGGCATACTTCGACCTCCCACATACCAGTTATTACAATAGTCTGAACTAATATTCCCCTTCTTTGGGGGCTCAAGGGCAATTAGTACAGGTCTGGGTTCCGTCACTCCAGGAAGGGTTTCCTAGTCAGCAGCGTCATGCAGACCACGAATCCTCGATGCTTGCCAGGGTAGTACTTTGAAGGCCCCTCCCCCAAGAATTTGGATAGGTTCCCTAATACAACAATACAGGGAACATGAAAATCCATCCCAAGGTGCCACTTAGCTGCCTGTCTTCTGGATGATGATTTGCTTCAGGATCCTGCCAGGACATACACCGCGCAATGAAGTCCCAGATCACTGACAGCGAGCTTCGAATGCAGGTAACTTTTCTGGGATTCCTTTTGGCTCAGTAGCAAAGCCTCAGCAGCTCCGAGGTATCTTTCACGCAGGCAGTGTTCTGACCCCGACCGTTGAGGACCTCAGGGTGCTTCTTACCCGCAAACCGCAGCACACCACGAAATTGTTGGAGAGTTTCTGAGCCGGTTGTTTCTTATCAGCCATGGACGAGAATACTTGCAGCACATGTGCTTGGGGCGCGTTCTGGGCGACCAAAAAGCTGCACAAGGCCATTCTAAGGTGTGCTTATTTAAGAAATGACAGTGCTCACGGACATCGCTTCCACATTCATCGGTTGCGAATCTGAGAAAGGCTGCTGTGTTGGCTTCGACGTGTCTGATGAAGCCTTTGCTCAAACTCTGAGACCCTAAGATGTCAAGCTACACAACATTCTGACGGATTCCGTAGAAGCTGATGTCTATGTTAGATCATTCACTTGCTGTTGTGCATGGTCTGGGTGCCCTGCTAGCCCCACAATCCTTAGCGCTTGCCAGCGTATGTGAGAACAAATGGCAACATTGGCATGCAAGGGCTTGCCGACCCCCGAGCCAATCTTAGCCGTGGTGCTTTTCAAAGTTTATGGGACTTCCACTCCTCTCCGAATCCTGGCTCCGCAGTGGCATGGGTGCATATCGGGGAGTTGGGAGGAATCACAACAATTTTAAGCTGCTGATCCAACTTGGCCTCGTTTGAAGACCTACCCACTAGTCTTTTCGGCTTTCAGAAGTCCTCGTAGGCAATATTCACCAACTCCATGAGGGCCACCCTCAGCGGTTTTGGAGGTGACGTCGGGATTGATTCGAAATTCCATGAAGGTCCAATTTCCAGCGGCACTTGGCTAGACATGGAGTTTGCTCACACCTTCTGCAGCACTGCAGCACCCCTCCCTGGCAGACTTTACAAGCCGCCCAACCC